CTGTTCAGAACTCACCTCTGGCAAGGTTCCAGCCGGCGATGTAGCAGGATTTCAGCTCTGAGACCCTGAGCGAGGCATCGGGCACACAGCCCAGCTGGATGTAGTCGCTGCACTCCACGGGCTGGTCCAGCTCCAGCAGGGCGATGTCGTTCCTGGCTGTGGCAGGCACGTAGTGCTGGTGCACCAGGAGCCTCTGGATGTGTCTGACCGCGGCCTCGGGGCCCGGCTGGGTCAGATCTGTGGCCCCAATCACAACCTCCCAGGTGGAGTTGTCCCTGGGGAGCAGATGGAGAGAGGGGTGACAGGGAGCAGAGCCACGGGCTGCTGCAGCCCAGCAATTCCCAGACAGGGAAGAGGCACGGGGTGCTGTGACCTGGGCACCTGCCCGTGCTCTGGGGACATCTCTGTCCCTGCTGTCTCTTACCCAGCCCTGGCGAAGCAGTGTGCGACCGTGAGGACCCACTGGGGGCTGAGGAGGACACCCGTGCACATGTGCCACGTGCCGTTCTCCCACGTGGCCTGGATGCTGACAATGCCGGGCCAGGCCCCTGACTGGGCACTGGTGCCACCCACAGCATGGGACATGTCCTCGGCAGAAGCCACGGAGCTGTGGTCAGAAGCCATGGGCTGGAGCCCACAGGTTCTTCTGTAACACAAAGCCATCACTGCCCTGCTCAGTGGCTGCTGCTGCTCAGGCTCCAGGTCCCTCGTCCCACCTTCCTGCCAGGTGCTGAGTGGCAGAAGGACCTGGGACCCCCGAGGGGTGCATCTGTCCCCCTGAACTGCTGCAGCCCCATAGACAGGTGGTGTCAGTATCTGGGTACTGGCCAGGGACTGAGGCTGGAACACTGTGGTGAGGGGAACATGTGGGTTCCCCTACAGGGAACCCCCTAAGTGAGACCACTGACCTGCAGGTGTCCCAGGTGGCCCCCACGGGCCAGGCCAGGGCCAGCAGCACGAGCAGCCACAGCAAAGCCATCGGTGCCAGCGCAGGTGGCAGAGGCAGAACCGAGGTGTCACCTGCAGTGCAGCCACCACCACAGCACCCACAGCCTTCGTGGTGCTCACAGTGCCCCCAGCCAGGGCTGCTGTCACAGAGGAGCCGGTTCTGTGTCCTGGGCATGGCAGGGAGGGGCAGCCAAGTCATAGAGACATGGAATGCTCTGAGTGGAAGGGACTTTAATGACCATCCAGTGCCATCCCTGTCATGGGCAGGAACACCTTCCACTGTCCTAGGCTGCTCCCAGCCCCAATGTCCAGCCTGGCCTTGAACACTTTGGGGATCCAGGCCATTTTTCTTGTGTCCTATCACATGCTCTTGTCCAAAGTATCCCTCCAGCCTTTTTCTAAGACCCCTTAAGTACTGGAAGGGGCAACAAAGTCTCCCTGTTCTCTATGGCTGACCAGCCATAACTCTCTCAGCCTGTCATGCCCTTCTCACCCTGAAAGAACATTTTAAATGTTGTGATCCTTTACAAAATATCACTTTATTTTCCACAGAATGGAGATCTATGACTTAGTGGAATAGCACAGTTTCCCAAAAAGGCAGAGCAGACTAGTACAGAAAACTTGCAGCCCATAGGTTGGTCTCAATATTCTCTCTCAGGAGGCCAAAGGCAATCAGCTTTGGTGCACAGAGGGGGCTTTGTTCATGCTGACAACCAGGAGTGGCAGGTTCCCTCACTGCAGGTGGTGAGCAGAGGGGAGCCTCTATGTAACACATCATAACTCTAGGAACCTAGGTGTTTAGTAGCTAGAGAAATAACGTGTCTGTGCACTAAACATTTTTCCTAAGTCCAAGTCTCTGTGTCATTTGTTGGCCTTTCTCTTTCAGCTGTGAATCTAAAGAGCAATAAGGTGGAACAACTCCAGAGCAGTAACTCCCTCAGTTTATTCCTGTCACATTTTGTTTTTTTTTTCTGACAGGATGGGTATATTGATTTCATGGAATATGTGGCTGCCCTCAGCCTCGTTCTCCGAGGGAAGATGGAGCAGAAATTGCGGTGGTATTTCAAGCTCTATGATGTAGATGGCAATGGCTGCATTGATCGACATGAACTGCTCAACATTATTAAGGTGACTCTCCAGGGGTGTGTTCTTGCCTCTTTCCTTAAAGACAAATCACACAAGTAAGACCTTTGCTGTTTCCCATATGGATGATGATTCCTTCTCTGAGTAGAATTCCCTACCACTGCATAATGCAAGAAGCAGACTTGACAGAAACTTTATCACCACAGGTTATGTTACAGCACAGCTAACCATAAAATTGTTTTAGCTACCTGTGACCTTAACTGCACTTTACAAGGTTTCAGACGCTGTGACTGTCAGTTGCTATCTCTGCAATGCATCCTTCATGTGTCCTTTTCCCCATGAGAAGCTGGAGAGCTACTCTCAATTTGCTTTTTAGAATCAGCTCCTAAATATCAAGATAATAAAACATTTCTGACTCTGGTGAATAGCCGGAAGAAAAATAAGAATGGAAAGGATTGTATGCAAAAATAGCTACTGTGGATGAGGTTGGAATTACGGGCATAAAGATCACTATAAATATCTCAGAATTAATTATGCTGCAAATTCAGATTATTCTGCAGATAATGGGAAATTACCAAGATGGAGGAAAGAATCAATGACCCTAAATAAATTACATTTCTGAATATGAAATGTCATGAAATTGATTTGATAAAGCACTAATAAGATGTTAATAATGCATTCTCATCTGGATAAGAATTTTAGAGCTGGGTATCAAAGAGACCTGAGCAAAATCAATACCTGTAGTAACATACAGCCTCCTACTAGTAGCTTGAAACAGAAATAATCAGACATTACAGTGAAGCAACAGATAGCAAGAGTTAACACAGAGCTCTTGAGAAACAAGTCCTGTGGGCAACAACTGGTGGCAAGAAATTTATTGCCCTTTGTATTTTGTGGGTGTAGTTTAGTGTCTTTTTTGGTAACCTTAGGAAATTGCTGAGATGATATTAGTTTCAGTAAAATAGCATTTGAAGAAAATGGCCAAACATCAAATATCAAAGGCCAAAACCTAGAAAATTAATAGTCTTAGAATCAGTGTAAAGGCTCTGAAATATTTCATGGACCTCCTTAAACAAAGGAAATAATTAGCATTGAAAGAAAAGAGAATCCTGCGCTATGTAGTTATGAATAAGAAGAATTGTAGCAACCAGAAGTGGATAAGGCTTAGTTTCTTAAGATGAAAATGAATTTCCAGTGAGCTTTAGGGAGAAGCCACACACACAGGAAGCAGTATATAAATGGAAACTGTGAAAGTAAGAATAGAAATAAATTACCACAACATATAACAAAGGAATTTCATAATGTCAAGTGTAGAGAGTGTTTGACAGTGTTTCTGAGGATGGGTGTACCAACCCAAGGTCACAAAGTGGACCAAAATGGATCGATTAGGTGGATTCCGATTCTATCATTTGTGCAGCCTAAACTGTACCTAAGCAGAATTAGGCCAATCCTCTGGGTTTTGCTGCTCTTTCCGTGCTCCAGAGCCACGCTCCCTTTGCACCCTTCAGTGCCATCCCTAAGGCCTGATGATTCATCCTTTGCTTTCCTGTGGTGCTGGTTCATCTGTATGGGAAAGGTACCAGGCATGACAGTCTTCTATTCTGAATCTATGCTGACATGTGGAATCAGTGTGGGAGTTGTTAGGCAGCTTCTTACTCTTGCTCTTTTATTTTAGGCTATTCGAGCTATTAATGGTGGTGACCATGAAACTAGTGCAGAAGAGTTCACCAACCGAGTCTTCAACAGGATTGATGTGAATGGCGACGGTAAGATTCCTGCCTTTGCCACCCAGCTCAGGCTCTTTTCTACAGAGTAACATCCAATTTTTCCTTTCTTGGTTGGACTTTAGGCCTCTTCACTTCATATTTTCTTTCTATTTGCATTCTCAGCCAGTAACACATTCTCAATGGACCAAAAAGGATTTTTCTCCTGGCATTATACATTATTAGTGTGACAGGATTTGTTCCCTCTACTGAGTCCCAGCTTTGTTCTGTCCATGTGACTTTAGTAGTGGGGTTTTGGAGTGGTGTTTTGTTTCTCTTTTTGTATGTTGCTATGTAGCTCATGCCAGTTAGAAGTGGGAAATATTAGCAAATGGCCCCAAGTGCTCCTAAGTACTTCAGCATGGAAAGGAAGAAGTGGAATTTAATGTTGAAGTTCAGAGTTTCTTCACTGGGTCTGCTGCAGGCAGTACAGCAAGAACATGAAGTGCTTAGCCAAAAGTTGGTCAAGTGCCACTGTGCACCCTATATGACCCCAAGTCCTTGCTACTTCAGGTGCTCGTTATTTTCTGACAGGCTCTTTTGTTATTCCAGAATAACTCTGCTGAGCTGCTTCCCTACACAAGGGCTTTTTGGCCTAGGACAGAAAAATTTGTTTCTGTCTGTCACAGCCTCTTTCTGTCAGCTCCTTTATCCTTGAAAATCAGAAAGTATAGGGCAGGTTAGTACTACAATAGGTTGAGTCAAAAAGGATGCTGTGATCCCACTCCTTAGTTACCCATTTCTATTGTTCTTTCTTATGTACCTCTTCCCCTGTATGGGCAAAAAAAAAGGAAGCAGGTATTGTCTGGATACTGGGGATATTTCATTAATGCTTAAGAAGACTCTCTGAGGACTTCAGAACAGTGCCTTAGAACAGTGCCTATATAGTAAGTGTCTCTACAGTTAGATTACTTCTTTTCCTGTCAGATGTGGATCCTGATGCCTTTTATTTATGTCTGACACAGGTGAACTTTCTCTGGATGAATTTGTGGAGGGAGCAAGGAAAGATGAGGAGTTCATGGAGGTTATGATGAAAAGTTTGGACCTGTCACACATTGTGGCCATGATAAACAACCGTCGGCATAGTGTATAAATCAAGCTGGGAGAAAATGCTGTGCCAATAAACAAAAGGGTGTAGAAAGACAAGAAAGGAGAAACAGCATTTTTCAAAACAAAATTTCCATAAACATGAATATGGAAGTGGGAACAGAAAGACACTGCTATGTTTGTGTATCTGAGTGCATGTTCCTGTACAAATACTGAAGCTAAGCCACGTAAATGCAGGGCAAGTTCAGAAAAACTGAATCAGGTTGGCAGTATTTGACTTGTTTTTCTAAAGTTTAAAGGCCAAATTTCAGGGCACAATTTTCCTTTTTATTCTGTGTCCCAAATTACCACTTTGAAATGGACTAAAAGTAATGCCAAGTTTGTGAAGAGCAGTAGCAGAACTGGGTGGTGGAGTGTGGAGGAAATATTCTGACATACAAAAGAAGAGTTTCAAGCTGTTATTAGTGTAGAGAACTATCAAAGAATGTAACTCGCACTGTTCTTGTCATGGTATTGGTTCATGAACACCATACCAGATGTGCTTGAATTTGGTAGTCTCTACAGAAGCAGCTTTAGTCATAAGATCGCAAGAACTGAAAGAAAAACCAGTCCAACAGTAACAAATCTGTCCTCAGCTGCAGCAGCTTTCTGTGACCAAAGAACTCTAGCAAACAAGTCAGCAGTTTGGAGCAGCTTCTGTAACCACAGAAAATATGCTACTCATATTCTTCTACATACCAAAGTAGAAGAATTACTTGAGAGATCAAATCTTTTATGTACTCAGGGTCCTACTTATTCTCTTCTCATATAACTGAGTCACTGGGAATGTTCAAGGCCACACTTAACAAGGCTTGGAGTAACCTGATCTAGCCCCA